GATTCTTAAATTGTATTTTTCCTCCCCAGAGGGCCTAGAGCATGTTGAAAAAATAACATTATGCAAGTGTCATTATATTGAGGATGACTGTTTGCAGAGGCTTAGTCAACTTGAAAAATTACAAAAAAGTCTACTGGAAATGGAAATAATTTCCTGTGGGAATATCACAGACAAAGGCATCATTGCTTTGTGTAATTTAAGGTAGGTGGTCAAAGCCAAAATGGAAACTTGATAATGATAAGGTGAATTAATCAGAATTTAAAGCCCTTGAGGGGTGGTGTTTTCTTTTGGTTCTGAAAAATATACTTGAATAAAATTACCTCACTTTTATCTATAATTCTTTAAAACAATTAAATTATCAACTTTAATACATTAAGGCTTCATGGCATTTAAGCAACATATTTTTTTAAATTAAATCTACATAAAGCACCTTGAATGGTGCTGGCCACAGTAATCCTTCTATAAGCATCAGCTATTGTGCTTCTTTTCCATCTTTTAAAGACATCTCCCCCAATTCTATATTTTTGGTATCCTAATATTTGGCATATACCAGTTAGCACACAATTCATTTTTTCTGTTGTTGTTTTGGTTTGGTTTTGGATACTAGGGATTGAATCCAGACACTTTACCACTGAGCTATGACCCTAGTCCATTTTGTTTATATTTTAAGACAGAATCTTGCTAGGTTGCTGAGACGGTCTTGAACTTGTGATCCTCCTACTTCAGCTTCTCAGGTTGTTGGGATTACAGGTGTGTGCCACCTCATCCAGCTAGCATTTAATTCTTTAAGTTGCTTTAAGTACCTTTCTGTCTCTGGAGCCTAGAACATGCCTCACACTATAATAAATTTCAAAAACACTGCATTTTGCCAAGCATAGTGGTGCATGTTTATAATCCCAACAGTGTGGGATCACAAATTAAAGGCCTGCTTTGTGAACTTAATAAGACTTTGTCTCAAAATAAAAAATAAAGTGGAATGCGGATATAGCTCAGTGGTGGAGCACCCCTTGGTTCAATCCCCAGTACCAAAAAAAGGGGGGGAAAGAATGCAGCCATTGACATGAGAAAGTTGTTTTATATACTCTTCTACCACCAGTTGCCTAGACCCATATCATGGCATGGAGCATTTAATTCCAAATGCAAAAGTAGATAATACTAGCAAGGAATATTTAATTCTAAAATTGCAGAATTCTGCATCTCATCAGAATGATGAAGAATGTAAGTTTGTTTAATCAAATCCCTATTTTAGGGATACTGTCAAATTCTGAATTTAGGTAATGTAGTTCTGCTTTAATGTGTAATGATCTGAAAATGACCTCAGTATCACAGAAAGTTTGAGAAGTTTTAAACATAAGGACAAAAAGTGCTAGAATGTCCATCTCATGATTCCATAAATTGAGGCTTGAAAGCTTTATCTTCTAATAGGAACTTGAGTACTTTTAAGAACCTTACCAGTATTTTTCCATTTTTGCATTAAGGTTTTATTTCTCATGCACAGGATATCTATGCCATTTTACACATGTGATTTAGAAAGATTGTTACAAAGATTCATGTAATTAGTAACAATAATTTCTAAAGCCTGGCTTAGTTTCTAGCATAAATTTCATTTAAAGTAGTACTCTGAATACTGCTCTAAAAGTCATTTTGAAGGTGTAGGGTGATAGAAATACATTCTGTATGTAATTTTTCATTAAACTTAATAAATCAAATTCATCTTTAAAGCTATAAAAGTAAAAGCCAAATTGAAGTGACTTTTTTCTTTCTCTATTTGCAGAAACCTCAGGTATTTGTTGTTAACTGATCTTCCTGGAGTAAAAGAAAACAAGAAAGAAAATCTTGTCCAAGTCTTTAAGACGGCATTGCCTTCTCTGGAACTAAAATTGAACTTGAAGTAAAATAATAAGAATCAGTAAGTGTCTTACTTCATTATGAAGGATCACTTGAAATTGTTGATCCTAAACTGCAACAAATACTATATAAATCATCAACAGAAACTGTAGAGAATCTGTCATATATAGAAGATAAGTATTAGATGTGACTCACTAAAGTTTCTAAATTGGAAGTGAGAAAGTATGTACATTAAATCATTTTAAGAAAAGTGAAAACTAGGTGACAATTTAATTTTAAATATATTCTTCATGTAATATAAGTATCAATATACTAGATATCTCCTGGTATGTTGACTTAGAATTCTTTAAAGTGATTTAACTATACAATGAAGATATTTTTTATTGTATTAAAACAATTTATATTACAACTTTAAATTTATTGAAGCACATTGTTATAAATGCACAATTATGAAAAATTGGAAGCTAAATTACAGATTCATTGAATCAATTATGCAGAGTAGTCACTGATTGTTGAGGCATGCATTTCATATTGCTTCTAGGATTTGCACACATTTCTCATGATCCTGAATTCCTGTGTACTTGATAGTATATGCACTTTCTTAGAATGAATATTGCTGGTTAATCTAGCATACAAGTTTAGGCTAGTGTTTCATTAAAATTGGACATAGATACTTGACTGAATAGTTTTGTCAATTGGAACAGAACAGAGGGTGACAATTGTAAAGACCAGCAGGCCACGCTGAACTTTTTGTACTTCAATTAAAAAACTGCTCTAAACAGAAAATTGTAATGTACCAATCACAAGCTAGTTTTTCTTGACTTGAATATTTTGGATGCTACCACCTATGAGTTCAAGAGACATCAAAAAGAAGTATAAACACAAAAGTCAATTTATATCTAGAAAACAGTAATAAAGGAGGAAACAAGGTCATAAATAGATAAAACAAGTCTTTATTTTTACCTGCGTGAAATAGTTCTTATTCTATTATTATTTATGTCAATTTGTTAATGGATTTCTGTATGTTTGGTTTGAACATTAAGCTATTGAATATAAACTTAACTAGAAATTATTTTAAAATAAACACTTTCTATGATGAGTCTTTCAGATTGAAAAATTAAATTTAATTGTATTTAATAAGGAAATATTCACTTTTCATGGATAAAATGTACTCTTATGGAAAGCATAAAATGATATAGCATTTACTAATAAATAGTGATTTCATACTGAATAAAAGGATTATAGATATGGTTGAATTGAGTATATGCATAAATTTAATAGACTTCATTAGAGAAAAATTTGCCCTTTTTCTTAGGTTTGTTTCATCACTGTGTGGTGAGTCAGCTGATTGACCACAATTTAGTCTGGAACTACTTTTCTAAATGTTTTTCTGTAAAACTATTGGATGAATATAATCATCTGCTTCCATAAAATACATTTTCTTGCATTAAGGGAAAAAAGAAAAATTATAATTATAATTTATAATCAGTTATAATCATCTGCTTCCATAAAATACATTTTCTTGGATTAAGGGAAAAAAGAAAAAATTTTATTGACAAAAGTTTGATGTCCTTATCATTTGAGTAAAGACTGTGTTACAGGAATTAAATAATACTGAGACAATTATTTAACCCACTATCTGTTCTATACAAAAAGCTACATATTAGGAAGCCTTAAGGCTGGCTAGGTCACCAGAATTATTGAATAGATGACAGAATTTAGTGGATTAATTAGCAGTAAGTGAATAGGTTCAAGTGCTGTCATGAAGAAAATTAGGAGCACATCAACCAGAAGTGGTGTTGAGTTCTAAGAAATAAACATGGAGCTTCATATTATTCCTGTGTACAGGACACAAAGATTAAAAGCTTTTTGATTAGGAGCAGTAGGCCAAATCAGAGCTAATGCTGAGTCTCACTGTACAAACTAAGAATCCTCAACAGAATTCCTTTCCCTCCCCCTACATACACTCTACTGGGGATTAAACTGAGAGGCACTCTCTGGGCTATATCCCCAGCCCTTTTTATTTTATTTTTGGGGAGGATCTCACTAAATTGCCCAGACAGTTATAATCATCTGCTTCCATAAAATACATTTTCTTGGGTTAAGGAGTAGGGCGATAGAAATATATAATGTATTTCTATCACAAACTTGCCTCAGCCTCCTGGGTAGCTGGGATTACAGACATGCACCACCACATCCTGCTGGACTACTTTCTTTTAACTTATATTTGTTAGGATTGTGTTATGTAACACACACACATGCACATGTGTGCTTGAGTATATACATATGTGTGTATATGTATTTTTTTGTGTATATATATATATATATATCATATAAGAAGATATGTCAGGGAAAACATCAGTCAACACCTGTTATGGTTTGGATGTGAGGTGCCCCCAAAAGCTCATGTGTGAGACAATTTGACAAGATTTAGAGGAGAAATGATTGGGTTATGAGAGCCTTAACCCAAATGGTGAATTAATCCCCTAATAGGGATTAACTGAGTGGTAAGTGAAGGTGGGTATGGTGTGGCTGGAGGAGGTGGGTATTGGGGCCATGCCTTTAGGGTATATATTTTTTATCTGGCGAGTGGAATTTCTCTCTGCTGCCTGATCATCTTGTGAGCTGTTCAGCTTCACCTCAAGCCCTTAGGAATGGAGCCAGCTGCCTATGGACTGAGACATCTGAAACTGTGAGTTCCTGAATAAACTTTTCCTCTTCCACAATTTTTATGGGCAGGTTACAGCAGCAAAAAAAAAAAAAAAAAAAAAAAAAAAGCTGACTAAAACAACATCCTATTATCTTTCATGACTCAAGTAAAAGTTCATAAGCAGTTTCTTCTACCAGATCACTATGCATTTCTACCCACAGAACTGTCTCCAAAGCTTGAGGCTAGGCTGGAGAGAATAAAGTACTTATTATTTTCAGGCTGACAGATTCAGTCCCTGTGAAGCCTGTAGGTCTTGTTCTACCCCTTGACCACCTTGGTCAGCTGCCAGGCTTCATGCCATTGTTTTCAAGAGGAATTAGGTGAACAAGTGTGGACAGATTATAATAAATCCATCTTGCTGCAAAAGTGACTAAGATGCATCCTTTACTAAAGGTAAAGACAAAAGTATTTTCAAGAAATGTATAAACATAATCATTAAATGTACAGGCAATCACAAAATCTTTATAATAAACCATAAGATTTTAAATACTTTGAATAACTTAAAAAAAATTAAAACAAAAATCAAGAGACAGAGCAAGCAGGAAATGGAATTTTAAACATTTTGATTTCAAGAACTACAACTCTGCTTACATATGATGTCAAACTATCTGCAAGACAGAAGTTAGGACTCGGGGCAACAGAGATCCAAGGAAATACATATGGGCATTTTGTAATTCATTTTTCATATGTGGCATACAGTATAACTAAAGCATAAATCTTTTTGACATCATCTAATTTTTCTAGAAGTATGGGCAGTGGATATAGTTTATATTCTGTCCATAAGCTCAGCTTCTTAGATAAACAAAAATATAAGTGAAACTCCAAGTTTTTTTTTTTTTTTCTATTCTGGACACCATCATCACGCATGGAAGACTGAATCTGGAATTTCCCTTCATATCTTGCCAAGTGGCTTCCCAGTTGTTTATATTTTCTCCTGGGGTGTTTTCAACACTGTGCTTGCTTTTAACTAAATGTGTAAGTTTTCTTTTCTTCAACTTATTGGTCACTTCTTCCTTTATCACCAATTTCCTAGCTTCTTAAATGTTTGGAAAATGATAGTTAAATCTCTTGGTATTACAGTAGTACTTCTTATTCTCCAACGCTGGAAGGATGTTATTGCTAGTAAGCTGAGGTAAGTACTGCAACTGAAAAGACAAACCAGAAATAGATTCAAAACAATGCCATGCATTGTTTTCATTATTTAAAATACATCACAAAAGAGGTAATTAAGCAACTTTTCAGCACAAATACTTTTTCTGGCACAAATGTAGAACCTGAGAAAGAACAAAAGGTTTTAATTTGGTCTCTGCTTTTCCTTTTAAAGGTTTGTTTTACATTAAAAAGCAAATACATACATTAAAGAGAATTTAGAGAATATTAAAAAAATAAAATCTACAATGTTAACATTATTGTGAAACAACATAGGTTTATAGGAGTTGAGAGCTTGCTGGGACCTTAGGAATAATTTAAACCAATTCCCTGCCTTAGAGCAGAGAAAACTGATGTCCAGAGCATGAAGGAAATTTGCCTTTTATTCCCTTAAAAAGGCAAAACTACTTCCTTTGAACTTTCAGAAAATTAAATTTATTGTCAATGTCAAATGAAAGTAAGGAGAACACACTTTTTTTTCTTTTTTTTTGGTATTATACTATAAGGCCTTAGGCATCTCAAAAGAAGGTACTTTTTAGTACTTTTAAACCAAACAATCAAATCCTTCAGGACTTAAATGCAATATACCAAACAGGTTCCACTATTCTTTCAAGGAGAAATACTTCCATCAGGTTTCTTTGCTCTTCAACACAAAGTAACAGTGAGATGCAGATAACCCTCCGGTCAGGAGGTGGGGAATCTATTTCTGGCCTGTTTTGCTATCTGGGTCATATATAATAAAGAATAAAACTAAAACATTCCTAATGCTTTGACTGTGTGTGGCCTATCTCAGGGCCCTGGAGATCATATAGTACCTATTCCTAATGAACTCTCCACCTCTTCCCTTCTCCAAACCTCACACACAATATGCATTCAAGATGAAAGCATATACTGATGCATTTAATGCAGTGGAAGCTGCAAATGGAAAAACTAAAGTAAGGTAGTTTATAGCTTAAGGAGTGCCTAGGTATATTCAGAAGTGACCAAGAGCAGCCAGTCATTCTTAGGTGTGGTTCTAACTATAGACCAGAGATTGTTACAGCTTTTGCCTTCTGACAAAATATAAGGTCATTTTACCAATCAAGATTTTCCACAGGCTTCCAGTGTGCAGTTTGGGTGCTATTCTCTGATTCAATGTGCTGTCCCGTTGATAGCACTGCAAACTTTCATTGCTGTAGTAACCCTAACCAGCTCTGATAATTAAAGGATCAGGAGAAAAAAATAGTTCCCTTTTTTGGATAAGCCTGGAATGTTTATTCTGAAGGAAAACATGATGACAAAGAACTTCCTGGATAGATTTGATTTCATTCCCAGTGCAAGAAGCACATTCAGCTGGACTTACACTGATGTACCTGATTGAGATCTGTGCTCATGTACATCAGAAACCCTTGCCCCTGTGTGGCAGCAGGAAACAGCAGGGCAAGAACCTCAGAAGATGGGTATCTTTGGGGTTGATAGATGGTGTGACCTGTTTCTTAGGGCTTGAATAAGGGTGCTGGAGCTGTAAGCCACAATTGCCACCCTCACGTCTAGATGCCAACTCTGAACCAGGTGGCAGGTATGGGATCATTTGAAACTATAACCTTGGTTGTTTCTGTAAAGCAGTGCACCATTTTTACCCCAGGCAGGTGCTTTCGGCTCTGTCTTAAAGTCTTCCTTGTTGGTTTGTCTTGTTCTTTTGTCAAATCCCCTACTTCTCTGATGCTGTCAAAATATGGGTGCTGCAACAGCTGTTCACATGTCAGTCTTTCAGCAGGGTCCATGTGGAGGCAACCCTGAAAGAACAAAAAATTCCTTCTAATTGTAGGAACTTACTAATTTCATTTTTCTTTTCTGAAAGGCTAAAGTTTTTAAGATTGATTTTATTTTAAAAATTATTTTAATTGACACATAATTTACATATTTATGAAGTACAATGTGATTATTTCACACATGTATATGCATGATAGGTTATGATCAAATCAGGATAATTAGCATTTTCATCTCCTTAGACATTTACCATATCTTTGTGTTGGGAACCTTCTAACTCCTGTCTTCTAGTTCTTTATAAAATATATAACAAATTGTTGTGAACTATAGTCACCCTACTGTGCTGTGGCACACTAGGTCTTATTCTTCTATAGCCCCCCTTCTCCTACCTTCCAAGCCTCTAGTGACCACTGTTCTATTCTCTACTTATGTGATATCAACCTTTTCACTTTCCATATATGAGTAACAACGTGGTATTTGTGAAAGACTAAACTTTGGTTATGAATAACAAGGGGAAAAAGTAAGGAAAACACAGGTCATGCATGGTTTTAGCTCCTTCCACAGTCATTCCTAAAGGGGATAATAAATAGGTCTCTAGAAGCAGAGTCGAAGAATTCTCTCTACCTTGTTCTATTCCTGAGTCAGCTGGTGTTCTGCCATGGGGAAGTAGGATATAATTTTGGAGTTAACTCCAGTGGCCAAATGGGACAATCCACTTAACCATCTTGATATATTTTAGGTGCTTTGTTTGTTTGTTCGAAAACAGTTCTCCACGCTGTACTTGAACTTGCAATCTTCTTGCCTCAGCCTTCCAAGTAGCTGGAATTACAGGTGTATACCACCATGCCCAGCTTTCCTTCAGGTAGTTTGTAAAAACTTTATTTAGAAATACTATTTATATGTAATACAAATAAAATTCATACAGTAAAATCAAAGTCTCTGCCACTCATCTATTACTCTACTATCTCCTCCCATTCCCCATTCCATCCTTTTATTTAATTTAGTGTGACTTTTCAGAAACAGTCTGTGCATTATAAGCATATATGACTATGAATGTAAGAAAAGTGTAATTTTTTTTTTGAGAATTTTTTAATCTTTATTTTTTAGTTTTCGATGGGCACAACATCTTTGGTTTTTTTTTGTATGTGGTGCTGAGGATCGAACCCGGGCCACATGCATGCCAGGTGAGCGCGCTACCACTTGAGCCACATCCCCAGCCCCAAGAAAAGTGTAATATATATGCCTTTATATTACATCATTCTTAACTATTTTCTTTGTCATAAGTAGGCCGTAGGGCTTACACTTGGATAGATAAATCCCACAACTACATACCCCAATTAATTACCTCACTTTTTTTTTATAAATGCATCAACAAATGTATTAAATAGTTTTTGAAATATGTAAGACATTGATTATAACTTGCAAATAGTTAAAAGTGAGGTACCATACCTCATTTTACATAATGGCTATATTTCTAAAAATGTATATATAAGTCAAGTTTTAAAATCAAAATGTACTTCACATGTACTGGGGCATTCACTATTTAAAGGATCATATAGTTCTGCATTTTTTCTTTTAAAGAAAAAGATCCTTTTATAAGGATCCTTTTACAAGTACCACCTCTTTGAAGTTTCTATTTTGTGTAAATTTAGATTTTAAATACATGTTAGTTTTATTTAAAGTGAGAAATTCTTTCAGATGTTTTCACTATAATAGAATGTGACCCACTTTAAAAGTTGAAAATATTTAAGCTTTTTGAAAGAGAAGAATCCTAAAAGGAACACTTCATTTTGTGGATTGCCATAAGTAATTCAGATTCCCCAATGATGACATTTGTGTGCTTCCATGTCTGTGGAAAGCCATGATTTTACCTTTAGGAGCCCCAGGGCAGGATAAGAGATGTTTGGGAATTTTAACTCAAGTGGTTCCTGTTGAAAAGAAAAGGGGTTTTTAGTATACAGTATGTATTCAAATTAAGTTACCTCAAATTAAATTTCCTTCCAATAGAAATGTCTTTCTAGCACCTTCCTTGCCTCCTCCACCCTTTCCCACTCCACCTCCCATCAGAAATCACCTCCTTATGTCTGTTTCACAAGCTCATTCTCTCCCCACCTCCAAAATGTTTTTCCAAATTCACTTCCTCAAGAAGATGGCAAATCAGTAAATACTAATGAAAAAAAAAAAACAACAAAACAACAATAAACACTTGCAGAGCAATTGTTATTTTTTTTCTGCCTCAATTTATATAACCTGCTTTACCTGAGAATAACTTTTGGCATTTATAATGGCATTATTAAAAGGGTCTCTAATTATATAATAGCTATTGACATTTATATAAGGGAAATTCAAAATAGATTTTTCCCCCCTACCCAGGTGAACAGATGCTTCTTAGACTTCTGGAATAAACACTGTTGTCTCCTCCCACAAAAACCTGCTGCTGTTTCTCTGATCAGCTCACAATTTAAAGAGTCTCTTGAGCCAGGATTCACCAATCTCCCTTTGGCCATATAAGGCTATTTTGCTCTAGTCATGCTGGAGTCAATCAGGAATAACACTATAAATGGGAGGAATGCTGCCCCATGTCAGGCAGACAAATAGGCCAGTTAAAGAGACATACCACTGACAAAGGCTAATTGAGGAGGGAAGCTGAGAAAAGAAGAGGCAGCCAAGTTGAGCAAAATAAATGACCACAGTACATTTTGTATATAAAGATGGCAGAGTGTGAGCTGCAGGCTGGAGCAATTGACCAGGCACTAATGAAACAGTTCTGATGTGGTAGTCCAGCTTCAAAACAAAGAGCCAGCTCCCAGCAATTAATTCTTGATTGTGCACATGCTAATCACTGATGAGAGAAGAACCTCCCTTTTGGAGTTCCCTATATTCAAAAGGAGGAGGGAAATCCTAAAGCTGATCTGTCTGTCCTTGAGAGCCTTCCCTCACCCCTCATAGCCTAAATAGTTCTTTTGCTCTGTGTGTTGAATGTGAGCACCTCTGGGAACTGACATGACATTACTCACATCAGGCTCTGCTGGCTCAGCAACAGTGCCTGGGTTGAGGCCAGCTGGTTGGCTGTGAGATGTCAGGGCCCATCCTGCCTGCTGAACCAGTCTCCCAGCCCAGAAGCCAGTGGGACTCCCTAGTCAGGGTTAGTGACCAGCAGAGGGACTGGAGCACAGATGTTCAACCAGTGCAGCTCCTGCACTGCTTCTTCCTGTGTTTCTGTCAACAGGAAATCTCCTGCAAGACAACCTCTGGGACACCATGGGAAGTTTTTTTCTTTTTCATTTATGAAACCAGGACTTTTTCTGAAACTTCACTAGTAGACAATTGAACAGGAAATTGCTGAGGAATATTTGGTGCAGAACTGGAAATGTACAGGTCACAAGAGAGCCAGTTGGGTCACCTCCCATATGCCAGATTTTATTCCTGCTTATCCAGCATGACCCACTTTTCCTAGTGCAGGAAGGGGGTGTGCTAGGGAAGTGGAAGCCTTAGCTATGGGACAAGCCCAGGAGGCTGAGGGAAGAGGAGATGTAAGTGCAAGGGACAGGCAGAACTTCCATCTGGAAAATGTCAGCAATGTAAGAGAGTGTTAGTTTCAGTTTGAAAATACCTTCCTCAGACCACAGGAACTCTGGGTCTCACAAACCTCGATTATGCTCTGAAATGTTCTTTGTTTGGCAGCACTAGAGCTAGAACCTAGGGCCTCACTGATGTTGCATATTTTATTAAACATTTAATTTATGTCAAATTGAACATGCTGTTCTATAAACTTTGTTTTTCCTTTAACAACATGTTGTGCCCTTTTTCAGATGATATATATAAATCTAAATATTTTTTCAGGCTATGATATAGTTCTACTACATGGATGTACTATAATAATCCCCTGCTGATGAACACTACAAGAAATTGTTTCTGTTAAATGCTACATCTTTATGCCTTGTCTGATGGTTTTATTGAGATAAATTGCTGAAAGTAGGTTAAGGGGGGCTGGGGTTGTGGCTCAGCGGTAGAGTGCTTGTCTAGCACATGCGAGGCCCTGGGTTCAATCCTCAGCCCCACATAAAAATAAATAATAAAGATATTGTGTCCAACTAAAAAATAAATATTAAAAAAAGAACGTAGGTTAAGGGTATGAGCATTTTTAATTTTTCAGTTCTTTTAAAAATGTTTTTTTCCACATCAGCCACGGAAAACAGGAACCAGAGTGAAGCTTGCTTAGAAAGTTCACTATGTTTTTCCCCCATGATCTGGGAGTCAGTAACCGTAGAGTATGGAATCTGGACAATGTTGGGTAGTTACTTTTCCTGCATGGGCCACTGTCTGGTTTGTCTAAAAGTTGACTGGCTCTGAGCTACTGAGGATCAGTTGATGAAAATGATAAGGGACAAGTACAGCTGGGGCAGACAGTTCTGCATTCCTGTCTGACAGGCTGACTAAACTCTGTTATCTAAATTAGCACTGAAAGCTGAGATCTTGTTAACCCATTTGCTCCCATGTTCTTTTTCACTCTAATACAAAATTTCCAGTACAGGGTCAGCTATGGCAGATGAGGAAAGTGAATAACTACCAAGACCTAGCTAGCCTGGTCTGAAGAGCTCTCTCCAAAATGGATTACTCACCACATCTTCAGGGTCTGGAATTTTCACCCCACTGAAGTACTGATTCATGCTAAATACTTGCTGGTGTCTAGGGATGAGATCTCCTTTGGAAAAGAAAGAAGGAAGTGAGATTGGTTACCAAACCAATGGTCTCCCTCCACGGAAGTTGTGTTTGTCTGTACCTGCACCTACAAAGGGGGCAGTTCTCTTTTCCAAACAGAAGGAGAAGCATTCAAGCAAAACAGCCTACACTGAGCTTTACAGTGGGCAATGCACCTTTATTTGGCTCAGAGATGGTAAGCAACAGAAGTCTAAGTCAGCAAGGTTTTGTCTGGTTTGTCTAAAAGTTGACTGGCTGGAGGGCTTACAACCTGTTTGAGGAATCCAAACCAAGCAACTCAAGTAGACACACAAATAAAATAATGCCGTTTTAAAAAGTAACAAAAGGGCAACAACTGTAAGGCATTTGATAAATATTTTCAAAGGGAGGGAGGAAAGAAATCACAGAAAATTTTCTAGCCAGAAGGAACACATTTTCAAACTGGAACCATCTTAATTTACCAATTAGTGATCAATTGGAAATGCCATTTCATCTACTGTTGAGAAGCACTTACAATGTGAAGGATTGATACAAAAGGAGCATATCTATATTTGAGGGGACATGTGAAGCTCAGCCTGCCTACATGGCAGCTAAATGGGCTAAATCATCCTTATATAAAATTCTAGGGATAATACCCTTAAAGAAAAATTTGTTCAGAGAATATAAGGAGGGAATCCTTAAGGCACACCCAGCCCCCTTTCCAGAGCAGACTGAAAAACAAAAACCTTCCAATCAAGGGCCTGTGCATGTCTCCATTGGACTGAACTAGAGTTCCTACACAAGGGCATCAAATTGTCTAAGTTTACTGATTTTAGAACTTTACCTCTCATTCAAATCTAAAACCTTGCTCCATTTTGGAGGAGGTCAAAATATAGCTTCTAATGCCTCTGTCTCCATCCTCAGTGGTTTCCTTGTGAGCACAATCCCCTATGCCCTAATGACCTTCCATCAGAGCTGGAGGGATGACACAGAGAGGGTGTCCTAAATCACTGGGGGAATTATATCCACAGAAGACTAGATGCCCCTGAAAGGGTTACAAGGTGTCTACAATGTGCAGACATTGGTTGTTAAGTACAAATATAAGACACCATCTCACCATCAAGCAGCTTATAGTAGAAGGCAAGACATGATGATAGCAGGTGCTATAAGAGTTTATGAAGTAGGACAATTTTGCTTTAAATTGGGATACTTAGGAGAGTAGTATCTAAACTCTCTGCCTTCTGAAAAGGGCAGTCTTTGCCTATGAACCTTTTCATCTGTCCCTCACCTTCTCTTCTTTCTTCTCCTCTGCTCTTACCACTCCCCTCAAGGAGAAAGGAAAGGGCATTGAGGTGGGAAAGAAGGAAAAGAGAAGTGGCATTAGAAAGAGCCAGTCTTTCTGCCTTACATTTAGAAGTTTGGGAATCTTCCTACATAGAGTCTGAATAATCCAAACTAGTCAGACAGGCTGAAGTTAGGGATATCCAAATGAATTAACATATCATAATACAAATTGAGCATCCCCAGTCCAAAAACATGAAATCCAAAATGTTCCACAGTGTGAAACTTGTTGAATACCACCATGATGACAAAAGTTTAAAATTCCACATTTAATCTCATGTGATTGTAATCAAAACACAGCTGCACTAAAAATATTGTATAACCTTCAGGAGAAATAAATTGAAGAAGAACCCAGAAGATGGAAAGACCTCCCATGTTCATGGATAGGCAGAATCAATATTATTAAAATGGCCATACCACCAAAAGCAATATACAGATTCAATGCAATTCCCATCAAAATACCAATAGCATTCTTCACAGAATTAGAAAATATACTCCAAAAATTGATTTGGAAGAATAAAAGACCCAAAGCAATTCTAAGCCAAAATAGAATACCTAACTTCAAATTATACAACAGAGCTATAGTAACATCACAATACCTGACTTCAAATTATACTACAGAGATATAGTAAAAAAACTGAATGGTACTGGCATAAAAACAGACACATAGACCAATAGTATAGGATGGAAAACACAATAGAGACACCATATAGACAAACCCACACAGATACAGTCATATGATATTTGACAAAAATGCCAAAAATATACATTAGAGAAAAGACATTTTAAGCAAATGGTACTGGGAAAACTGGTTATCCATATGTAGAAAAATGAAACTAGACCCTTATCTCTTACCCTCCACAAAAATCAACTCAAAGTGGTTCAAAGAGACCTAAGAATTAGACCAGAAACTATGCAACTCTTAGAAGAAAACATAGGGTCAACATTCTAGCATATAGACATGGGCAATGACTTTCTGAATAAGACCCCTAAAGTTCAGGAAATAAATGGTATGGCATCAAATTAAAACGTCTCTGCACAGCTAAGGAAATAATTGGGAATGTGAAGAGAAAATTTATGGAATGGGAAGAAATATTTGCTGGATACTCTTCTGACAGAAGATTAATATCTAGAATGTATAAAGAACTCAAAATGCTTTACACCAAAAAATCAAATAACCCAATTAATAATGGGCAAATTAATTAAATAAACATTTCTCAAAAGAAGAAATACAAATGGCCAATATGTAAAAAAAAATTGTTCAATATCATTAGCAATTAGGGAAATACAAATCAAAACTACACTGAGATTTCATCTCACACCAGTCAGAATGGCAGCCATCAAGAATACAAATAATAATAAATTCTGGAGAGGATGTGGAGAAAAAAGAATACTTTTACACTGTTGGTGGGACTGCAAATTAGTTCAACCACTATGGAAATCATTATGGAAGTTCCTTAAAAGGCTAGGAATGGAACCACCAAATGACCCAGCTATACCACTCCTTGGATTTATACTGCAGAATCAAAGTCATCATACTACAGTGATACATGCATACCCATGTTTATAGCAGCACAACTCACAATAGCCAAACTGTGGAACCAGCCTAGATGAATAATTTTTAAAATGTGGGATGTGTGTGTGTGTGTGTGTGTACACATATATATACACACATAATGGAGTTTTATTCAACCACAAAGAAAAATGGAATTATGGCATTTTCAGGAAAATAGATGGAACTAGAGATCATTATGTTACGCTAAATAAGTCAAAGTCAGAAGGTTAACAGTTGTATGTTTTCTCTCATATGGAGAAGTAGAGAGGAAAAAAGAAAAGAAAGGTGGGGGCAGATCTCAGGGAAATCAGTAGAAGAAAGGGACCAAGGAGTGGGATAGGGGAGGAGGGAGGAAGTGCTGGGGAGTGATATTGGCAAAATTATATTGTTATATTGTATATTGTGTGCATGTATGAATATGTAACAACAAATACCATCAGTATGTACAACAATAACCCACCAATAAAAAAACATGTAGGGAAAAAAGTAAAAAAAAAATTACCTTTAGGATACGTGTATAAGGTGTATATGAAATATAAATGAATTTCATGTTTAGACTTGGGCCCCATCCCTAAGATATCTCATTAGGTATTTTGTAAGTATTTTTAAAAAAATCCCAAATCTAAAAACTTCTGGTCCCCAACATTTTGGATAAGAGGTACACCATCTGTAAATGAAATAAACCATGAAAGCATTCTGTGAACTACTAAGCCCTAGCAGAAATGTTCCTATTGTTGCCATGATTATTTTTCAGAGGTTAACTTGGTCTAAACTATGCTCAAGAGAGAATCTCATGTCTTTTGGATAATTAGTAAATACTCAATATTATCATTATTAAAACAAACATGGACACATTTAATAGAGCCATTTCAATGAAGCTCCAAAGTTGTTGCCTTTTCCTAACCATAAAGAGGATCAGATAGGCCAGGAACTTGGCTCTGCCTGCACCGCCAACATGGGTAAAACTATGCAGTTTCTTAAATGGTGGAACAAAAACACTACTTACCCAAGGTTTTCCTAATCAGATAGAGTTGATCCACATCTGATTTCCCTGGCCATAGAGGCACTCCTGATAGCAGTTCAGCAAAGACACAACCAACTGCCCAAACATCCACAGGAGGTCCATACTGTGTGTCCCCCACTAACAGCTCTGGGGAGCGGTACCACCTGGTAGCCACATAGTCTGTGTAGTAGTCACTTGGTCCAGCTTGCCAGTGATAGAACATGGAAAACAAAGTGGTGGAAACCTGGAGTCAAAACTGGGAGGGAAAGAACTAAGAAAGCAAGTTTGCCCTCAAGCTTGTGGCTTTTTGAAATTGCTGTTCTCCATGCTGGTTGCACATTAAAATCACTTGGAATGTAGTATTTTTTAAAATTTCTGATGCTTAGGCCACACCCCAGTCCAGTTATATCAGAATCCTTGGGAAGGGCCTAGGCACATCAGTTTTTAAAGTTGCCCAGATGATTCTAATCTTCAGTTAAGGTTGAAAACTCCTCTTCTAAAATAGTATTTTTGGAAAGTATTATTTTAGTACAACCTGGTAGAAGCCAGAATAGCATACTTTTTAAAATATTTTTTGTATTTAAAATTTTTTTTCAGTTGTAGTTGGACATAATATCTTTATTTAATTTATTTATTTTTATGTGTTGCTGAGGATCAAACCCAGGTCCTCGCACGTGCTAGGTGCACACTCTACTGCTGAGCCACAACCCCAGCCAAGAATAGCATACTTTTTAATAACATTTTTCTTTGAAATAATTTTCATATAGCATACATATCTATCAAAATCACTGTATGTGTCTACATTTTCAAATTACAAATACATTATAGAATTCTGAAATTACACAATTCTAATTTATAGCAAGCTTATGCTTTAAATATATAAGAACTAGCTTTCTCTAGCGTCTAGATTCTTTAACATATCAAGACCATTTCCATCTTTAACATGTAACTAAAGAAAACTTCAATACTCACTCAAAAGCCGAGCAAATCCAAAGTCACAAAGCTTAATCACTGAATGTTTTGTAATAAGGATATTTTCAGGCTTCACATCTCTATGTATGCACTAGTTACAAAAACCATAACAAAATCAGATTACAAAGGAGTGACCATAATATATGACATAAATAAAACACCTCAACATTTAGCAAATAATGGATAAATCATTTGAATCTTTCATTAGCCTGTTGGATAAGAGCAAAGCAACGACCTAAAATACATCTATTTCCATACCTATAGCTCGAATCATCCCCAAAAGGGTTCAAAAGAACCATCATGAATAATAAAAAGGAAAAATGAAAATAGGGCAGTCAGCAAATAAAAATATAAATATATGGCAACTAGTTAAATTTGAATTTCAGATAAAAACTCTTGGGTTTTTTTTTTTTGGTCGTGTTAAGAATTGAACCAGGGACTCATGCATGCTAGGCAAGTACTCTACCACAGAGCCACATTCCTAGCCCCAACAAACATTTTTAGAATAGAAATATGTCCCATGCAGTATTTGGAACATACATATATTAAAAATGTAGGCTTGTTTATCTGAACTTTGAATTTAACTAGGAGTCCTGCCTTTCATCTGATGCCTGTAGGTGAAAGGGAAAATGGTAAAAGGCTCTGGGTGAGGCTTGTGTCAGTGTTGCAGGAGCTTCCAGTTGGTGCATAAGCAGAATTCACAGTGGAGTTGCTGAGCTGAGAACACAGCTGGCCTGGTAAACAGGACAAGCCCTGGGCCTGCTGAGATAAGCAGGGAAGAGAAGGGTGGGAACCATGAGCTTGCCAGGAGATCTCCCTTTCAGCTCTGACATTTGTCCCAACAAGATAAACAAGAATAGGCAGCAGTCCTCACCCTCTGGGGAGAGTCGCTAGATGTCAGCTCTGCCCCACAACACATCTTGCTCACAGAGCTGTATCCACCCCTTGGATGTGCCTCCTGCTCCATAATTTAGACTGCAGTCACCTGTGGTTTTCAGACCGCAGCCTACATTCCTTAACAGAGTGGTATTAGAAGAACATTTGAGAGTCTTCATACAACTTTCTTATTAAATGATAATTTTCTTGACAAAAAACCAAACCAACAGCCTAAGTATTAATTGCATTTAAAAATTCAGTTGGGCCAAAATTACCACTCAGGATTGCTAATAACCTTCCCATCTCCCAAGTGTTTTTCTCTCTACAAGGGAATGCTTCTTTCTGCAACCTCAGAGACCCCTTTGGCACCCTGAAGCCCTGGGGTTATTCCTGACTTTCTAGAATCTGGAGATAGGAGAGGAGTTCTTCTTGGGCCTGGATGGTTCTCACTCCAAAGAATGGTAAGGGTAAAAGGGACAGGGCTATAGCTCGCAAGTGTGAGGCACTGGGTTGGATCCTTAGCACCACATAAAAATAAACAAATAAAATAAAGTCAATCTGTTCGTCTACAACTACAAAAAGATTTAAAAAACAAAATTTTACGAGTGAGAGATCAGCATCAGTGTTTTCCCATAAATATATATTAGTCTAGAAAATTTGAAAGGGGGCAATATTTTTATTATTCTATTATAATCTATCTAGTTTTCACAATTAGGCACTGAGGTCTCTTTTATCACTGGCTTCACATTTTACTATAAATGGGTACAACTGTGAATATCATGGTGACATATGGTCAGAAGTACTTGTAAGCAAGAATGTGCTCCCATTCTGTTCTGGGAATTCTTTACAAGTTTCTGCACCCTCCCCCATCAGCACATGGAGCCAAACAGAGCATTTGGGGCTCTCCAGGGAACTGTGGTATGCATTATATTTGTCTTTACTGCCTCAGATCATCTCCATGATGGCCTTCATGTCTCTCTCTGTCTCTCTCTCTCTCATCCTAAAATCTACTCTCAGGAAAGTACCAACCATTGTTCACAGTGACTAGCAATATAAAGTGTTAACTCTCACGGCTGTGCAATAATGATATTTTATTTTATTTTCAGTGCTGGAGGTCAAACCCAAGGCCTTACACGGCCTAGGCAAGTGGCCTGCCACTGAGACACATCCCCAGCCCTGACAAGGATTATAGCCTTTGGTTAATGGAGACTCAGTAGGGAGAGGTGCTGGGTACACTCATGTTTTCTCCACCTGGAAAGCAGCTTCAGAAAAAAATCATTTGGAACAGCCCCAAGGAAGGGGATTTAGCCCTACTGGCTCAATTGATGCTGACACTTGGTGGGTTGACAGATTACAGCTGAGTTGCATTCATGGCCAACATGAAGTTCCAACACTGGAATTCATGTTTTTGTTGTTGTTCTTCTTCTTTTTTTGTGGTACTGGGAATTGACCCAAGGCCTCCACATGGTAGACAAATTCTCTACCACTGAGCTGTATGTCAGCCCTGGAACCTGGTTACCATGACAGGGAGTGGGAAGGATTGTCCTAGAGGGCACAACAGGCCTCCCAGAATCAGTGAAGTTACACCACCTGGGCAATAGTCCATTGTGCCTCTCACCAGCCCAGCTGTGGACAGGAGTACAAGAGGCTTCCACTGGGCTACTCCAGTTCTGACTTAGCACTCATATCTCACCAAAGCACTTGTGCACTGAGCTTGGGACTCCACCTACTACAATGGGCATATTGCCACCAAACAGGCAGAAAGCACCTTCTGATTTCAGAGCCTCTGCAGGGGGTACAAGTCCAATATAGACTTCAAGTGAGTAGGGATCTTTCCATCTTAGATTTGAGAAGTTTCTAAATAGATGACTATATTCTTAAAATAATTTGAAAATGCATGTCTTATAAAATTGAGCAAAAAAATTAAAAAGGAATCGCTAGATTAGTCTCTTTTTGCAACCAGGCTAATCAAAGTTTGAGTGAAAACTATACCCACAAAAGTATGATTAAAAATGTTGTACAAAGTTTCTCCTCGGCTTGAGAGAAGGCTTCTGTTTTCCAAGGGAGATCATGAGACTTACATTGTGTTTATGGCAAAAGTTTACAGCTTGCAGTGTCTGCCAAGTTATACTCTTCACAAGATGTTCTGGTACCCTAATAAAAATAAAGAAGCATCACAAACACATTCTTTAGTGTAGTTAGGGAGTTCAGTTCAAGAAAACGTAAACCAAGACAGGCTTCAGCAATGAAAAATCCCAGGTGACATAGTCACCTCACATGACAGGCCATCATTCCATGAATTTGAAATGTAAAGGGTGGGTAACCAGCACTTTACTGAATTCTAGGGACAGCATGTTAACAAAAATGCAAACATAGGTTTCTGGGAATCTGGGAAAACTGGGACTCTGCCTGGAAACTTCAGCTCCATTACTATATGGGGTGTGTGTGTGTGTGTGTGTGTGTGTGTGTGTGTGTTTTTTTTTTTTTTTTGGTAGCAAGTTAGTTAATATACAGCACAAAAGATGGCTGCTTATTTTTTTTATTCTTTTTTTTTTAAGATGCAACTTATTTTTTTCAAGTTGCCCCAAACTAATTGGTAAAATATTCATCTTCCATGCAGATGAATGGGCACTCAGTTTCTCCATATTCCTGAGTCATTTTTGTTTTGTTTTGCTTTTTAGGTAATAAAGATTTTTACAGATGAGAGCATGCAGCAAAAGTCAATCATAATTAAAAACCCAGGTAAGCATTTTGTTTCTTTCCCCATATTCTCTTGTAGGCAGCTGCATCCTGACATCTTCCTGCCCTTTCCTTTAACACAGCATCTAAACCCTGTACCACTGACCCCAGCCCTTCTTGCCTGACTCTAAGCTGATTTAATCAGTGCAACCAGAAGTCCTAGCAGGTGCTTTGTGTAAGTTAGGAAAAAGCACCTTTGTCTGGGAGTATTTTTTTTCCCCTGAGGCAAGGAGTGAAATAGACTACAGAGAAAATGTGTTTATTTTTCAGACTCTCACCTACGAGCTGGACTTACTGTTTTATGAATCAAAAATTAAATGACATTGTTGTGGTCCTCATCCAATATTAATAAGTAAACCAGAGAGGGAACTCTTGAATAGTTGTTAAATGTGATCACAAAAAAAGTCACTTCTAGCCCCTGGGACAGGCCACAAGGCCACTGTTGTCACAGACCAGATGTTCAGGAAATCCTTTCAAGCAGATCAGAGGATGCTTGAACAGAATGGGACAACATAGCGGAAACGGAGAGGTCACCTTTAGGAAGAATAGCTGGCATTTCTGCATCAAGATTATATCTCTAGGGCTGGGGCTGTATTTCAGCGGCACAGCACTTGCCTAGCACATGTTAGGCACTGGGTCTGGATCCTCAGGACCATTAAAAAAAAAATCATATCTCTGGGCTGGAATATGGCCTCTCCAAATTATTTTGGTCTTAATGGTATACAGGCACAGATGCTAGAAAGAAGGCCTGGGGAAATGCCACTATACAGGATACATTTCAGGTTCCCTCAGCCTCCACTGTGACCAGAAAAAAAAATAGAATATATTTTAAATATATTTGAATTATTTTATATATTAAATATTAACATAAGGTTTCTGTGCCAGGCAACTTGTCTCTAAAATCATTTCCCAATAGAATTATCTGGAAGCTGGGCATGGTGGCACATGCCTATAATCCAAATGGCTCAGGAGGCTGAGGCAGGAGGATCACAAATTCAAAGCCAGCCTCAGCAACTTAGCAAGGCCCTAAGCAACTCAGTGAGACCCTGTCTCTAAATAAAACACAAAAAAGGGCTAGGGATGTGGCTCAGGGTTAAGCACTGCTGGTTTCAATCCCTGGTACCAAAAATAAATACATAC